GGGCCCCGGTTTATAGGACCATTTCGTGTGATTGCGAGGGTAGGCCGGGTAGCCTATCGGTTGGAGTTGCCAGCAGAGTTGGGGCAGATCCACGACACTTTTCATGTGTCGCAGTTGAGGAAGTGTATAGCCGATGAATCGACAGTGGTTCCATTAGAGGATATTCAGGTGGATGCAAGCCTGAATTATGCCGAGAGACCAGTGGCCATCAGAGATCAGAAGATCAAGGTTCTAAGGAATAAGGAGGTACCTCTGGTGTTGGTTCAGTGGCAACACCGGAGGGGATCGGAGATGACCTGGGAGCCAGAGCGTATGATGCAGGAGCAGCATCCGGAGCTATTTTCAGAGCGAGACTTCGAGGGCGAAGTCTGGTTCTAATGGGGGAGAGTTGTAACAGCCGGATTTTCAGGTATCTTGTATATGTATGATTTTTGGTGTTCTGAGAGGGGACTCGGCGAGTTGGAGCTCAGACTCGCCGAGTAGGGTCGCGGATCTGGTCGCGGGATCGCGCCTGGACTCGGCGAGTCCAGGATATGGACTCGGCGAGTCCGCGCTGTGTAATGAAACCCTAATTTCTCGGGTTTGGGACCTATTTAAAGGGCCTTATGGCCGTCATTTGTGCTCACCAGTCCCTTGAGTGAAACCCTAATCGAGTGTGAGCGTTTGGAGCAAAGTAGGAGGCCATTATTGATCTTGGAGGTGTCATTTTTGCAAGGAAGGAGAGAACTAGCTAAGGGAGAGCAAGTGGAGCCACTTCTGAGAGTTTGGAGTCCAGAGCATCACTATTGTGGTAATAATTTCGAGTTATCTTCTTCCTTGTTGATGTTTATTTTGATTTAGGGTTTGTTGAACCCTTTTGTGGCAAGATCTAGTGCCCCCTTGGTCCCTTATGTGGTTTAAACCATAGATCTGGACCCTTGGAGGTCCAGAGTGTCCCTTTGCCCAAGCTTTTTGGGAATCAATGGAGGTTTTGGATTGGAATTCTTATGCCTTAGGTCAAAACTCCATTTATGAGCCATGGAGTGTTATGGGCACCAAGATAGAAGCTTTACGTGATGAATCAGTTTAGGGAGGCCAGATCTATAGATTGTGGAAGCAGATCTGACCTTAGAAGCAAGTTGGAGTGGTTTCATGGCATGGACTTGCCGAGTCCGATGAACAGACTCGGCGAGTAGTTTGAAGATTGCCTTGGGTTCGCTCAGTGAGTGGTCCAATCGAGTCATAGGTTGACTCAGTGAGTCAGGGTGAGTTAGAGAGGGACGACAGGTGGACTGAGTCGAACTGGGACTCGCCGAGTTGAGTCGGGGTGGCCCCGCGATTCTTCCAGATGGAACTTGTCGAGTCAGGGGGGAGTACTCAAACGTGTAGAAAGGGAATTCTAGAGAGTTGGTGAAAACGTCTAGACTCACCGAGTCGCCATAGCGCACTCGCCGAGTCCGGTCAAAGTTGACCATTGACCGTTGACCGGACTTGACCTGTGTTGACTTCTTAGGGATAGTCAACCTTAGAAATATAAAGTGTTAATCAGAAAACATGTGATGATATAGGAGGATTAGAGCTAGGAGGATCGAGCACGAGGGATTTCCAGGATTCGTGAGATACCGAGATACGCGAGGTGAGTCTTCTCACTATACTTTACCTTGAGTAGGTAACCAGAGTTATGTGATAGAGTATTTGTATTCTATGCATGTTATGTGTTGTACTGCATTATTTCTATGTGATTTATGTGGTGCATGTTTATCAGAGTTAGAACCTGAGGGTTCACAGAGTTTGGGTGCACGGACCCACAGAGTTATAGCCTCGAGTGGCTAATATGTGTTATATGTGGTATTTTGGGGAACTCACTAAGCTTTGTGCTTACAGTGTTTGATGTTATTGTTTCAGGTACTAGTGACGACCGCGGGAAGGCGCCGACTTGATCCGTACACACACACGAAGTTTATACATTTGTGATCTTGGGATTTTGTATTGACTTGAGTTGGATAATTAATATGGTTGTTTTATGAATATTAATTGAATTATGTTTTATGAAAATTTGAAAATTTTGTTTTGAAATTTACGGTGTTACACTTCTTTTACTTGACTTTTTACTAATGCTGACTAATTAAGATTTTAATGCATGAAATTATTGTACGCATCGTATATATAAAATGTATCTCTTAAAATTCAGCATTTTAATGTTAATTAAGGTATATATATATATATATATATATATATATATATATAGGCTCAGGTGCATTTGAGACCATTCTAATTTTGTGAGACCGTGAGACCAAATCTAAAAATAATTTTAAAATGCAAAATAAATGGAAAAATCCAATTTTTTTTTTAAATATTATTTTCGGAACTTGAATTAACTAAAAAAAATTAAAAAAAAAATTCCGTTTTTTTTTTTTTTTTTAATAAGTGAAATATTCTAAATAGAATATTACACTGGCATATTCTAAAAAATAATTTTAAAATGTAGAATAAATGGAAAAAATCTAAAAATTCTTTTTTTAAATATTATTTTCGGAACTTGAATTAACTAAAAAAATTAAAAAAAATAAAAAAATAATAAAAATAAATTCTATTTTTTTTGAAAAATACGTGAAATATTCTAATAGAATATTACACTGACATATTCTAAAAAATAATTTTAAAATGCAAAATAAATGGAAAAATCCAAATTTTTTTTAAATATTATTTTTGAAACTTGAATTAACTAAAAAAAATAAAAACTAAATAAATAAATAAATAAATGTGTCTCACTGTCTCACAAAATTAGGCCGTCTAACATGAACCTAACTATATATATATATATATATATATATATATATATATATATATATATATAGTTATATAGGGTTAGGTTATTTTGTTTTTAGTAACTATTGTATGCCAGAATGCACAGATCTGGACCATCGGATGGAATATAATCAAAGGTCATGATCTGGGGGTTTATGATAGTAGAATAGGATAACATATACCATATAATCACACAAATTTCAGCATAAGGACATTTTAGTCAATTAACCTATATCAAAAAAGGAAATTTTTGGATTTTTAGGGATAATTAATTCCTTTATTTTTAAAAATCTGAATATTTTAAAATAATTCAAAATTAAAAATTCGATTTTATTCTATCAGAATGTTAGAATGTTAACCATAAAGTAGTAAATATATTTTTCGATTTTATTTTGTCAGAATGATAGAATGCCAACCATAAACTAGTAAATACATTCTAAAAAAAATACACAAAATCAATTCTTGAACTAACAATATACCAAATAATTACATTGTATGATTGTGATTCATTGAATAATAACAACATTCTGAAAGAAAAAAGAAAAAAAAAACATCACAATATAACAAAAACACTAATCTATTATGATAGAATATTATACATTATAACATAACACATTCTGGTATAATACACTCTCATTCTCTATGTTTTCTTCCTTCTCCACATCAATGTTACTCTCTTCAAAACCTAAATCCACAAAGAGAACATAATCAAGATTAAAAAATTAAAAAATTCAATGCATTCTAAAAGAATAAAAACTATAAATTCTGACAGAATGTACTTGTTGTTGACAATTATTCTCAAACATTCTAATAGAATACATTTATATAAAATAAATTCTAATAGAATACATTACATAATTCAAGAACTGTGATTGTATATAGAATTCAATAGCTGTGATTGAATCATCAACACACATGCATTTATTCCCAGTGATGAATTCAAGAAACAAACACACATTTACATTATCGATTTAGAAATATGCACACCAATTTTGACTTTTTCGAAACAAAATCCTACTTGTGACTGTGAAGTGCAAAAATAAACCATTGAAGATATCGAATTTAATAAGATGATGAACACAATATCGATCTTGAAAAAAAATCGAGATAAAATCAATCTCGATTGAGGTAAATAATTTCCAGTTATATCCCCTAATTGTTGGATTAACGGATCAAAGAAAGAAGAACAGGAGGCTGCCGGAGGATACCTCCATCCAAGTACCTGCAATCGTCGGGATTTCCTCACCGTTTCTCGCTTCTCATTCGTGTTCATAGACCCCACAACAACGCCATTGCTCCTTCGCATCCCCTTCTTTAGCCTCATCGACCCCAGAATCCATCATTGATTGCGAGACGAGAGTATGTGCTCCCCTTTGGATCCGTCGATTGTAGAAGAAGTAAAATCGGTGATGGTGATGGTGTTGATGTCGATGATGAAGTGTTCGGCCGCAAGCATATCTAGGTCAAATATATTTATTTTAATTCCTTAATTGAATGATTAGTTTATTTCCTTAATTGAATGATTTCAATTAAATAATTTCGTTAAATAAAAGTACAAAAGGTCCAAAATACCCTTTAATGATTTTTTTAATTATTTATTATTTCTTGAATTCTCATTGGTGCATTTAGGCACACAATAGTTGCCAAAAACATTTGAACCTAGCTCTCTCTCTCTCTCTCTCTCTCTATATATATATATATATATATATATATATATATATATATATATATATATGGGTAAAGTGAATATACCTAACAACCTTATATAAGCTTAGGTACCTAACCCCATAATAATATATCGGTATGTATCATATTTACATTGTAATTGCCTAAGGTTCTTAAACTTCAACCACATAACTTGATTACTTCCAAAATCTTTGGACTTTCACCAATATCTTTCTTTTACATTACGTCTTTCTATCGAATACCACCTGATGAGCTTCATATCCTACCGCAACAAATGAAAGGATGTAGCAGAAATATAATGTTGAATTTCCAAAATTTTTAGAAATAAATCAAGTTTACGGATGAAGTTTAAGAACCTCGGATGATTGCAACGAAAATTTAATGCAAAATGACGTAGTTTGATGAGGGTAGGTACCTAAGTTTATATAAGGTTGTTAGGTATATTCACTTTACCATATATATATATATATATATATATATATATATATATATATATATATATATATATATATATATATGTGAATGAATGTATATGTAAAAGCTTACATATCACAATGGTTTCTACTCCGAAAAGGCGAATCAGAAACCCTAAATACTCATCCCCTTCTTCTCTTCCTCCTTCTCCCATGCGAGTTTTATCTTCAATTGAACCGCCACCAAGCTTGCTACCGACCAAGACGGAGATATTTAAGCTCGTCGCCGTCGTATCTATCGCCGTCTCTGTTGCAGTAGCCTGCAACCTTGTCATCAAGTTTTTCAATCGTCAGCCAAAGCCGTTTTGCGATACTGATTCGGAATCGGATTATTATCTTTCTGGTGAGCAAAGCTGTATTTGTAATTTATGCATGAGTAACTGTTTTTTATTCATTTAATTAGCTGTTTGTCTTAATGCTTCATTCCATCGATTCCATAGAAAAGAAAGCTATATTTGAGTTTTGGTGTCACTTCTATGGGGTGCGTAGCCAATTTCCCACCGGCATTTTTCTAGTTGCTAGCTCCAGTGTAGTTAGCATATTTTTCTCGAAGGTTTAGAATTCATGTCAATAAAGTCGATTTGTAACTTCTTCTCAGAGTGGATGGAGCGCTAGAGAGGAGAAGTATATTGACTTTGCGTTAATCGTTTTAATTGGTATCCAGGTTCAAGTATAAAGTTGAAGAGGGCATAATGCACTTCATTCCTTGAAATTTTGGGCATTTAAGTTGGTTATACGCGTAGCTTAAAATGCATGAGTGATCTAAGGGTAGTGCACGAGACAAGATGTTGTTCATGTTTTTCCATCAACATTTTGTGTCTGTATTAGTTTTATCAAATGTGTTACCTCTGCATTTCTGTGTGGTTTCAAACAATGGGAGTTACCCAAAATCTTTTTGGGCTTCTGTTTTTTGCATGCTGAAAGGTTCTTTCAAAGTTTATATCAATTGTTTGGGAGTTAAATCTTGCACAAACAGGTAAGGGTTTGAGTCTTAGCAACCGCAATGTGGGAGTTTCAATTCCAATGGGGGCAGCCACCACTCCTAGTGGGTGTGTACCTGATTTACATCTCACATGATGCTCTTGTGGTGGTGTGGGACAGCTGAGGGGTTGCTAGAAGAATAACCCTTTTGTAGAAACTTAGGTTAAACTTAAAACTCTCTTAATGATTATTAATTTCTCCAATATTCTTTCAACTGCATATCTGCATCGTGCAAAATGTGTCTTCATGAAAAAGCTAAGCTTAAAGATGCGACTATTCCATACTCATCTGGAATAGTTACATCTTATGCTTTTACTATCGATCAACCGATGCTGCTTTTTATTTTTTATTTTTTTACAGAGGTTTGTGATCCTTGTCCAAGCCATGGCATATGTTATGAAGGCAAATTGGAATGCTCAAGTGGTTATACAAGACATGGGAGATCATGTCTAGAAGATGGAAGTATAAATGAAATGGCTAAGAATCTCGTGAGTGAACACTTATCTTGGGGGTACTTTTGATCATCACGTAAGGGTTGAAGAGAAAAAAGATGTTATATCTGTAACTTTGCTTCTGAAATGTTTAATATGTAAAGATAACATGATATTGGTGCAGGCAAAAATGGTAGAATCTCATGTCTGTGAATCATATTCTGAGTACCTGTGCAAAGGAATCAACAAAGTCTGGGTCCGTTTCTTGTTCATATCCAAGTATTCAATATTGATGCATGTCAAGTTTTCTTCTTTGTAGCGAGATTTTGTTGACCTATAAAACACTAATTTGATTTGATTACAGTTTCGTTGGGATGAGTTGTGGAATAATATGGACAAAGTGAAGCTGCTGGCAGAGGATTTTGGAAAGGGCAATGCCACCTATCTGTTTGCAAAGAACAGAGCAATGGATATTGTTGATAATTTGTTGGAGATGAGAGATAGTAACATTGGGTAGGCTATATTTATTTAATATTCAGTTGAATGCACCCATCTGTTATTTCTTTATTTATTATTTTCTTGATGTAGAATTAAGGAGTTTAAGTGTCCGGAGTTGCTAGTGGAACACTATAAGCCCCTAAGCTGCTCTGTTCGACTATGGCTTTTGGAGCATGCTTTGTTCCTAATACCATTTTGTGTATTGGTATGTAATGAAGGCTAATTGTCTCTCACTTTTTCAAGTTTATGGCATTACTTAAGATTTTTGCAGCTCGTAGGGTGTGTACGGATGCTGTTAAGAGTTTGCCACAGACATTACTTGTCAGTTAGGGCTGAAGAGATTTACGAACAGGTGCACAACTGTAACTTTTTTATTCACTAATCATGATTCAGTTGTTGGAGATATTAAGGGGGTGTTTGGCTTGTCTTTTGAAAGGGCAAAAGCCCTTTTTGGAAAAGATAAATGGCAAAAGATGTTTGGTAAATATATTTTAAAAGTGACTTTTGGATTTGAGATAGAAGGAAAAATGACTTTTTGGAAAAGTTAGGAAAACCTGACTTTTTGTAACTTTTCCAAAAAGTTCTTTTGCCTCTCAAAAAGACAAGCCAAACACCCCCTAAGCCTGTAGTCTTATTATTATTATTATTATATCACGTTAAATTGCAAGAAATGGCTATTATGTACTTTACTTCTCATTGATTCGTTTGTTATAGCGTTCTAGTTTAAACTTTTTGTTTTACAACATTTATCATCATCGTATACAAATACATAACCGTTTTACTGCTATAATTGGGTAGATTTTTCAAAAGTATAATGTCTAAAAAATAATTACAATGCCTTTATAAGAAGAAAATGCCTTTATAAAAATCACAGTCATTTCTTTATTAAAATATTCCGACATTAGGTGCTGTCTCTCTTTATGGAAGTGTTTTTGTTATAAGTATGTTATCAGAACAATGCTAAGTTTGTTATTACATTTAGTCATTTACTTACTAGCTAAGATTTTTGTATATTGAAATTGGTAAAACCACAATGAAATAGGTGTGTGACACACTTGAAGAGGCTGCTTTAGTTTCAAGGAGCATAAATGGTGAAGGAGAAGGTGAACCATGGATAGTTGCTTCATGGTTAAGAGATAATGTCCTTACACCCAAAGAAAGAAGGAATCCCATGTTATGGAAAAAGGTATTCTTATCTCTCTCTCTCTTGGATATACTTCCCATATTTTTTATTATAACATTCTACTTTCAGTTTTTCTTATTGCAACACTGTACATCCACATTATTTCTTATTGGGGCATTGCACTTAAAAGGTAGGAGCTCACCAATTGCTATAAATATAAAAGTACAATGATGTAATAAGAACAAATGAAGGTACAATGCTATAATAAAAAGTTTTGGAAGGTACATTTCTATTTCTTGCATTTAGCCCAAAAATTACAAATCGTGTAGAAGAGACAACTAAACAAAAAGCGATGTTAGGAACGTAGGATGTTTAATTGAGTTTTTGTAATGTATCATTTAAACTACATGCATTATTATTATTACTATTATTATTATTATTCGAATGCTTGTTTGTCTCTTTATAGGTTGAGGAATTGGTTCAAGAAGATTCTCGTTTAGACCGGTATCCAAAAATGTTAAAGGGTGAACCTAAGGTTGTGTGGGAATGGCAAGGTATACATTCATGTCCTTGCTGTTGCATTATTACTATTAGTCAAATGTCTAAAATGCCCATCATAAGGGACACTAAACTTTCTTAGGTCGTGTTTCTTTTTTACTTAATAGACTTAATAAGGATAGGACTTAATATGGTAAAATATATGACTTTTTTTTACTTAATGCCAAAAGAATGACTTCATAGAGAAAGTCTAAGAAATAGCATTTACCTCATAAAGTCCCATTTTTAAAAATAAATCGCCCTTGTTCACACAACTTTTAATGGGAAAAATGTTTTTTTTTTTCAATTAGTTTTTTATTGGGTTTTGTCCCTCTGTTTTCACTTGGATCTTGCTTTCTCAGTTGAAGGATCTTCTATGAGATCTTCTGGCAAGAAGAAGAAGGGTGAAGTAAAGAAGCAAAAGTCAAGTGACATGGGTTCTAATCAAGATCAAAGTTTGAAGCCTATGGAGCCTTTGAAGTGGTGAATCTTGTAACATGATAATATACTACTTTATACATTTATTGTAGATTGTACTTAAGCTCGAAACTGTCTTGCAGTTATATGTATATGACAGTTTCTACTTATACAAACCCATCGATAACACTTTACATACAGATTGTTTTGCATTTCTGTTCATTTAAGTAGAATTCCATTTTTGGAACAACAAAAAAACAATTATAATGGCATGATAAGTACAAACAGTTATACATTTATCATTTAGCACAACACAAAACTATAGAAGGGTAAAATGGTTATTTTTATCATTCAGATTACAGTTTAAAGGTTCCAATCAAACAAAATGTTAAAAAATCAGATCTTAAAAAATTAAGATCCTCTTAGAAATTCAGATCTTAAAAATTTAAATTCTGCCAAACGAACCCTTGGAGATAACAAATAATAAGGTTGCTTGGTTAAGGGCATCCTAAGTGAAGTTATATTTCAGTTGAATAAGGTGGAAATTTGGATTGAATGATAGGATTGAATGAGTGTTCAATTGAGTCTGGGTAATGATATAAAGTAGAGTTGAATGGAGGACTTGAATGATCATTCAACTCTTCAATAAGAGTTTAATAGAAATAACAAAATTGTGATTAGGATTTAATGTGTATAAAGTGGTCATTAGGATTGAATATGTTTTTAATGGATTGATCATTCAACTCTTCGGTAGGGGTTCAATAGAAAGAACAAAACTGTGATTAGGATTTAATGTGTATTTAATGGATGATATAGATTGTGGATACTCTAATGTAAAGAAAACATGGCTGATTCACTTGCCACATAGGGTTACAAATCATCAACAATCGTCAACTCAACATATATCAACATTATGGGTTAATCCGAGGGTCATTTTTATTGCAACATAAAGGTGGGTATTTTAAAATCCAAACAATTCAAAATTATAAATTAGGAAGATACATATAAAATTAAAAAGAAAAAATTCAAAGTGTTGGGTGGATTTGGTTGTAGAAAACTATTATTATTTTTTCGAATTTTTTTTTCCAGAAAAAGTAGCATAGTTTTCATTTACGTAATAGAAATTTAGAAAATGTATTTGGTTAAAACTTACCGAGTTTTTATTTTTTATTTTAGAAAATTAGAAAACATTAAATATTTGTATTTTCTATCTGATTATTTTTTTTATTTTAAATAATATAAAATTTAACATATTTCAACATAAAATAAACAAATATTTAATATAAAAATCAAACATAAATATAAATATTTATTTACAACATCTTTACCACTTTAATGGTATCAAAATTGCGAACGACTTTTTGATTGGGCAATATAGTTCCATCATTTTAGATTTGGCTGTATAGATCTATTTTTATTATTGCATTATGAGTTTTGGCTTGCCTTATTATTTATTGATCTTAAGTATGATTTTCTTGAATATTCAAAAAGTTAAAAATAATTTCTTGATCTTAAGTATGATTTTTATTATTGCATTATGAGTTTTGGCTTGCCTTATGGGTTAAAGTCTGAGGGTCATTTTTATTGCAACATAAAAGTGGATATTTGAAATAGAAAAACTGAAAAAAAACCCAAAAATATATGAACCAAAAAATTTATTTTTGATTCAAGTAAAAATAGTATTCCAACGCATTTTTCATACGTCCCAATCAAGTAAATATGTCAAACGTCATAAAAATCAGAGTACGTCCCATAAACCTTGCCACACTTGTAGCAAACACCTGATCCATAGATTCCCTCGTGACTCTTACCACACTTCCCACAAGTGCAGTCCTTCTAGTCTCCCGATCTCGAATCAGCAGGCTTTGCCCGCTTGGCCGCCGACTGAGACTGTGCCGGCCGCCTATCCCTCCTCTGAGACTCCGCCTCCTCCCTGACATGAGTCTCTATCTCAATCTCCCTCTTCCGAGCATTTGCTTGGAGCTTGACAAATGTGCGGTATGTCGAGTTCGTCACGAATTCACGAATGTTTCTCCTCAGTATGCTCAGATATCGGCTCATACATGCCTGCACGGTAGACACATGCTCAGGGCAAAACAATGCCCTCTCATGAAGCATCCGCGTGATCACAGTCACAGACTCAGTCCCCTGCTTGAGGAACAAGAACTCCTGGGCCAACCGTTCCCTCTCCACCGGAAGAACGTACTCATCTCGAAGCATAGCGGTGAACCTCTCCCAAGTCACCGCGGTAAGCTCTGCAGTAGAGAAATCAGATGTCACAAATTTCCACCAGTCCTTCGCTCCCAAGCGAAGCTGGTTCAACGCGAACCGCACCCTCAGATGCTTCGGACAAGAACAAGTATAGAAGCATCCCTCAATGTCAGAGATCCATCTCATCGCTGCTATCGGATCCTGCGTCCCATCGAACTCTGGTGGCTTCGTGTTGCTGAACTCCCGATACAGCAACGAGTCACCCCTTGTGGCCTAGCAGCAGCAACGGCTGCGGTGGCCGCAACAACAACAACATCAGTAAGAGCAGCGTACCGCTCATCAAGTGTCTCAATCAACGTGGTCTTGATAGACCCAAACATCTCTGGTATCTCAACTCGAATAGCTGTAGCCACCTCATCATGAATCATCCTGCGAATCTCATCATCGCTAGCACTGCTGCTCCCTGGAGTGTGGCGCGTACCCACCATGATGTCTCTGCAACACAACACAAAAGAAATCACAGACTCGCTCGAGTATTCTCGCACTCGACCACTCACCCTACTTGTTCCTTAGTACCTTAAGGATTCTTACTTGGGATGCTTACTGATCCGGTGTTTCCAGTAGTACGTGCCTTATACTACCATCCACACCACATCAGTACTCACCCTAAGTCCTCCTCCCAGGATCCCAGATCGCAAGTACTCTATATCTTGCTGAACGCAGGCTACCCTCTAGTACACCTCTCATAAGCTCCTCCTTGCTACCTACTCACACTCGAAGTAATTCACAGCAACAGTAATCCTAGGCTAAGGCATCACAAATTAGACCACTCTAGTCCTAAATATGAATACCTAGCCTACTCTAGCATGCATAACACATATCATAATATCTCATAACACACAACACAATGGTATTTTGGGAAATCACCGTTCGGGCGCTGGCTGATTGTACACACTGCTTCTTTCCGCTCTTTGAAATCTTTTACTCTTTTTAGAAAAAATGTTTCTTTTTGAAAACTTTTCTTAAATCCTCAGTTTGAGTTCAGAAATGCCCGAAGGTGTATCCAAATCCCTCAAACCAAGGCTCTAATACCAACTTGTAACGACATAATTTTTCAAATAAAATTTTCACTTTTAATTTCATAAAACACATGTCATTTTATATAAAACACCATAATACTCAACAAAGTTTTCAAAACATAATTTCAAATCCAGGATCCACAATCATAGCTCCATATCCAAAGTATGTGTACAATCACATCGGTGCCTTCCCGCGATCCTCGGAGGTACCTGAAACACATAACACATAACATGGTAAGCACAAATGCTTAGTGAGTTCCCCAAAATACCACATGCATAAAAATTAGCCACTCGAGGCTATAACTCTGTAAGACCTTCCGGTCAATGTGTCTCAGTGGGACCTTCCGGTCCCACAATTCTGGTAGACCTTCTGGCCCTACCATGATTTGCCTTCCGGCCCAACTCTGACTGCCTTCCGACCATAACTATGATTGCCTTCTGGCCATAACTATGATTGCCTTCCGGCCATAACTCTGATTTCCTTTCGGCCATAACTATGATTGCCTTCCGTGTAACAGCCCGGATTTCCAGGTATTTATTATTATTTGTATTTTTGGAGAATTGTGAGTGGACTCGGTGAGTTGGAGCTCAAACTCACCGAGTAGGATCGCGATTTTGGACGCGGGTTCGCGTCAGGACTCAGCGAGTCCACACTGTTTAATGAAACCCTAATTTTCGGGGTATGAGACCTATTTAAGGGGGTTTATGGCCGCCATTTGCAGCCACCAACCCCAGAGAGAACCCTAAAGAGCCTGTGAGCACTTTGTGAGAGAGAAGAGGAGGATCCTTGATTATTTGTGGGTATTTTTGCATATAAAAGAAGATCAAGGCAAGAGGAGACCAAAGAAGGTGCTAATCCAGTGATTTCTGAGCTCAGGGACTTCATTTGAGGTATCCATTCGTTCCTTTCTCACTCCTTGTTGTGAATCTTAGAGTTAGGGTTTCTTTGTGGAAGAGATCCATGGAGTAATTGGCTCCTTCTTGTGTTAGTACTTTAGATCTGGACCCAAAGAGGTCCAGAGACCCTTTTCCCTCAAGCTTTATGAGTGTTAATGGAGGCCATAAGCATAGAATAGCATTCTAGAGATCATATCATCAAATAAGGCCTTTGGACCTTTGCATGAGCACCAAGATTGTGACTTTACATGATGAATGTGCTTGGAAGGACTGGATCTAAGGGTTATTGGAACGAATCTGACCTCAGGAGTGAGTTTTAGTTCATGCATGGCATAGACTCGCCGAGTCCGAAGAACAGACTCGGCGAGTAGCATGAAGATTGTCCATAACCACTCAGCAAGTGGTCTTGCCGAGTTAAGGGGCTAACTCAGTGAGTCAGGGAGAGTCAGAGAGGGTTGACAGGCGGACTGAGTCAAACAGGAACTCGCCGAGTTGTTTTGAGACTCAGCGAGTTGAGTCGCGGTGGCCCCACGATTCATGCCAGGTGGAACTCGTCGAGTTAGGGGGGGTACTCGACGTGCCAAGAGAGAATCCGAGGGAGTTAGCGAACATGTGTAGTGTAACAGCCCGGATCCCCAGGTACCTTCATTTTCATATTTTTGATATTCTGTGAGGGGAATCGGCGAGTTGGAGGTCGAACTTGCCGAGTCGGGTCGCGGTTTTGGGCGGAGGTTCGTGTCCGGACTCGGCTAGTCCAAGGGATGGACTCGACGAGTCCGTGCTGTTTAATGAAACCCTAATTTCCCGGTCCTAAGCCCTATTTAAAGGACCTTATGGCCCTCATTTGCGGTCACCTTGAACCCTAAGAGCCCCCATACGACTGTGAGCCCTTGTGAGTGTGTTTGGAGGCCATTTGTTCATCATTTTGTGTGTTATTGCAAGAAAAGAGGGAGAGGATCAAGCTTGAAGAGTTGGGGAGCTTGGATCTGTTGCTATTTCATCAAGGGAGCCTTCTTGAGGTAACTTTCAGAGCCAAACTTCGTGTTTTGGGTTGATGTGTCAAATCTAGGGTTTCTTCTTGCATTTCTTGGCTTAAATTGGAAGTATG